AATCTTAAATATATATATATATATATATATATATATATATATAGAGTAAAATTTTCGGTCGAAGCGGTGTCGCATGACACCGCTTCGGCAGGAATAAATCCGCTCCTGCCTAGCAGGGTGATCATCAGATTCGCATGTTGTTGCTGGTAGAGCTCGCATAATTGTTAGTCCTTGCTTATCAGCTTCCAAATAGGTCTTACAAAAAGTGGTGGTGCATCAAAAACTCGCATTGTAAAGCTGCCTTCCAAAAAGTTTCCTGCTTTGGCCAGTTGATCCGTAACTTGATTTTGGTCTCTGTACGCATGTTGAACCCTGGGATTACAGAGCCTCAGCAGAAGGTGCCTGCAATCAAATAGTAGGTTAGCATGTATTGTATTTCACAATCTAGCATAGTGATTACCTTATTTGCGTCAATTTCCACATAAAGTGGTGAGAGATTGTGTTGAATTCCTATTCTAAGTCCCTGTATCAAAGCATATAACTCCGCTGAAATAGATGATTGGCTTGGCATTTTCCCTGAGAAACCTACAATCCAATTCCCATGGTGATTTCTAATTAATCCCCCAATGCCATCAATATTCAATGTTGATGAGTGAGCTTCATCTGTATTTAACTTATAAATGTCAGGCTTAGGTGGTATCCATTTAAGAGGGGTCATGATTCGTTATGGCACTTTGTGATATGAAGTTGCTAGCTAAGAAAATTCAGTGGCATGTTGTGTTGTAAAGTTGATGCTTATACTTGTACGAATTCCATCGTGAATGTTTCGATTACGAGTGATCCAAATGTTCCAAAGGCTTAAAGGTAAGTAAGTATGTGAGTTAATGTTGTATGGTAACTTTAAGTATTTGTAATTGATTAAGGGGAGTAGCCATTTGTGAGGCGTATCCAAATGAGTAGAGCATCAATATGCCTCCCCATTCCCAGATTATGCCAGTAGTGTCTAGCATTTGCATGAGTTAAAAAGATATGATTCAAAGTTTCATCTGCCTCATGGCAAAATAAGCAAGTGGCGTCAACGATAATATTAATTTTTTGAAGAAATTGACGTGTTGACAATCTATTGTGATTAAGTAACCAAATGAAATGTTTGACTTTAGGATGTATAGGTAGTTTCCATATCCATTGGAATTGACCAATAGTGTTTACCCTGTCAGTAGATTTTTTTTCTAAGGCCCTATACATTGAATTAACTGTAAATTTGCCATTCGGTATTAGAGCCCAGTAAATACGATCAGCTCTTTTATCTTCCAAGGATATGTATGGAGTTAGGATAATGTTTTTTATGTCTTCAGTTAATTCAAAAGGAAACTGTGCTCAATTCCATCCTTGATAATTATAAAGTGAAGCAATTTTTATGCTTTGATGATTTAATGGTAATGGCCCGTTTACTAGTGAACGGAGTATCGTCCCAGCTTTGATCCATGGGTCATTCCAAAAATTTACGTTTGTGCCCGTGCTTATCTTCCATTGTAACCCAAGTTGGCAATATTGCCATGCTTTAAGGATATTACGCCAAGTTGGCGAGTGGTTTGTTATAAAGGACATATTTAGGTACTTATTGATTAATATCTTTGCCCAAAGATTTTGTGGCGATTGGAAGACTCTCCATGCTAGGCTTACAAGCAAAGTATTATTCTTTTGACGTAGGCTCTGAATACCTAATCCTTCTAATAAGTGAGTTGTAGCAATTTTCTTCCATTTTAAGAGATGCATCTTTTTCTTTGTAGTGGTAGTTCCCCAAAGAAAATTGCGTTGATATTATTCTATCTTTTGTATGATAGTTTGAGAAATGTGGATGTATTGCATGATATGATTAGGTAAAGTATTAAGAGTTGATTTGATTAGAGTAGTATGTCCTGCCATAGTAAGGAAATTTGTTTTCCATCCCGCTAATCTAATTTTAAAATTGTCCAACAAGAATTGGAAGTCACTCTTCTTTGGGCGTGATTGGAACATGGGAAACCCTAAATACTTTCCAAAAGAAGTTCCCTCTTTGATTTGGAAAGAATCCATTACGAAGTTTCTCTCACCTGGTGGGCAGTTCTTTGAAAAGAATAATTTTGATTTTGCAAAATTGATTCGTTGTCCAGAATAGTGACTGAAATGATTTATCGCATCTATAATAGCATGACAACTAGTAGTAGTAACTTTGGAAAACAGGATGATATCATCCGAAAAGAAAAGATGTGAAAGTTGTGGGCCTTTTTTGGATAGCCGGATAGGTTGTAATTGGAGATAATCAACTGATAAAGAAATACTACGTGAAAATATTTTCATACACATGATAAATAAGTATGGTGACAAAAGATCTCCGTGGCGAATTCTTCTTGAAGGTATAAAATATGGGGTACATGTGTCATTTATGAGAATGGAAGTGAAGGTAGTATTGACACAAGACATGATTAATCTAATCATGGGTGACAGAATGTTGAAGTAAAGAAGTATTTTCCTAATAAAAGACCATTCTAGTCTATTGAATGCTTTTTCAAGATCCAATTTTAATAACATATAATTAGACTTGCCTTTGATTTTTGCAAAATGGTTTAGTGTTTCTTGTACTATCATGGCATTGTCAAAAGCTCTCTTACCCTGTTGAAAGCTTGTTTGCATTGGACATATTATTGAAGAGATAATGGGCTTAAGTCTGTTAACTAAAATCTTACTAATAAGTTTGTATATTGTGTTACATAAACTAGTTGGTCTATATTGCTGAACTGTATGAGCATGCCTAACTTTTGGTATTAGGTAGAGATACGTCTGATTAAGTTATGAGAAAATGACCTTTGTATTGAAACTTTCATGACAAAATTATTTTACTTTAGTATCGACGTCATGCCAGTATTTTTGGTAAAAGAAGAGATGCAGGTCGTCAGGCCCGAAAGCTTTATAAGGTTTAAAGCTATGTAGGGCACGATTGATTTCATTGTCATGAAGAGGTTCATTTAGTGCTTGAAAAGCGATAACACTTAGTAAGCAAGAATTAGAGTCTTTATGAATATTAAGGGATTGTGATTGTTCAGTAGTAAATAATTTTTGGTAGTAATTTAGAATTTGATGTTATATTTCAGCTTGGTCAAAAGTTCAATTGCCAACGGAATCTTTTAGAGAGGTTATTCTATTTTTCCTTCATCTATGAAGTGTTGACATATGGATAATTTTGTGTTAGCGTCACCCTCGTTTAGCCAAGATAATCTAGATTTTAATTTCCAAAAATCGTCTTCCAATTGAAGAATGTTACTAAAATCGTTTGTTGGTTGAGTTTCAAGATTTTGAAGAAATATACTAGTTGGATAATGAATGGAAGATTGAATTCCTGACAATCCAGCTAGGATTTTCCTTTTGCGATGAAAAAATATTTCGAAAAGTATGTTGATTCCATTGGGAGGCAGCTTCCTAGAACTTGTTAGTAGTTTCCATTAGGGAAGAGTTGTTATCCCAAATTTGATGCACTAAATGGTGGAATTCAGGGTGTAAAACCCATATGGTTTCAAATCTAAAAATCTTATTAAGTATAGGGCATCTGGCTTCTAATGTGATTAATAGAGGACAGTGATCTGAATACGTTCGAGGTAGGTGTTGTACTTTTGCTTATGGATATAAAGTTAACCAATCATAATTAGCTAAAAAACGATCAAGTCATTCTAGAATGGTGTTACCATGTCTACGTTTATTAGTCCATGTAAAGCGACTGCCTTTAAAGCCCAAATCGATTAAATTACAATAGTTAATGCAATTAGCAAATCTGTCAGCTCTGTTATTACTAATAGGTAGCCTGCCAAATTTTTCTCTTGAACAAAGTATTTCATTAAAATTTCCCCTATTAGCCAATGAGTAATAACAGTATCATGCAAGTTCATAAACTATGCCAAATATTATTACGTATTTGATAAGAGTTGCTAGCATAAATTGCGGATAGTAACCAAGGTTTAGTGGGACATACCTGGACAAGGCAGTGTATCTCTTGCTCAGACATCCTTAGCTCTTCCACAATAATTAGAGCCTCATTCCAAAAGACAACCAAACCTCCTATGAGTCTATTAGTGAACACCTGTGACATGCTAGTGAAGTTGAAGGCTT